TAGAGGCATCTTCCACACGTTACGTAATCTGTCGACAGGCCCATTTCCCACACGAGGCCAAGAACCCCCTCCGAGGTGATCAGGGGGCTGTGGACACTCAGTCTCCTTCCGCAGAGCCTGGCTTGTCAATAATAAATAAGTCAGGAAATGTAACTGAATGAACAGTGTTCGGACCACCCCCGTGAGAACAAACAGGTCTGGGAATCAGCAGCCCCCCAGGCAGGCGGGTGGGGACCCTGAGAGTGCAAGAGGTCGGCTCCAGGGGCCCTGAGGGGTGCTGGTGGCGAGGGCAGCGCGGCTGACCGGCGGTGGGACGTCCCCCGGGATGGGGCAGGGGCTGGTCCTGAGTCGGGACAGACAGACCCGGGGGAGCTGCGGTCGCTGGCCTGGGGCCGGCCGTCCGGGCCCACGGCTGCAGAGGCTGCGGCTGTTTCCTGGGGTTCCCACGTGGCCAGCGTCCTGCCTTTCTGTGTGGCCCGGCCACCAGCCACTGTGTGTCCGGTTTCTCCTGAGGAGGGAGGGCACTTCTCGAGAGGGTGAAGGCGGGAACAGAGGCGGGGCCTGGGAGCTGCTCCCGCGATTCTGGCAGCTTTGCCCCAGGCTCCCTGGAGCCTGGCTCCTGTGTGAATCTCTGTTTGGGGGCTGGGAGTCTTTTCCGGAAGCCACAGCCTGGCCAGCCTCACTTCTACACAGAGGAGCTGGTGGGACCCAAGATTCAAAGGCAGGGCCGCTGAGGATTTACGCCATTATCAGCTACCAGAGGGCGTCTCTCTGCAGGGAATGTCCACTCTCACTCGTTTGCTGGCACGTCGTCTTCTGCGTGTGAGGGTGCTGGGCGGCCTGCACGCGAGCGCTCGTCAGGGCTGTACCTTTGGGTCACCTCTCCTCGTGGGCGCCAGAGGCTCAGCCGGCCTCCCCGCTCGCTCGGAGAATAAGGGAGGCCGGGTGGGTATGGGACCAACACGAGGGGTTTATGCTTTAAATATGGTACCTGTGGTTGTATAATCTAATTTATCAGGATGTGTAACGTTTTTGGCAAGATTTGGCATCGGGCTTTTTATTTGTCAGATTGAGACACTGTGGAATCACACCTGACGTTGATGTTGGAAGGCAAAACTGTGGAAAGACGCCTGAGCCGAGAGACTTATAAACAAATATCCAAGAAAAGAGATTCTATACATAGAAGGCTATTTCAGAATAACCAGGGGCTGCGAATGCGTTGTTCTTCAAGCTCAGGACCAGCTATGCCTCCAGGGCCCTGAGTTTAATTCTGGTAAAATGTGTACAGTACAGAATTTACCACCTTAACCATTTTTTAGGTGTACAGCTCAGGGGCATTAAGCGCATTTTCACTGTTGTGCAACCTTCACCACCCTCATCTCCAGGACTCTTTCATCTTCCCAAATGGAAACTCTGTCCCCATAAAATAACACCCCCCCACCCCCAGACCCTGGAAGCCAGCCTCCTGTTTCCCGTCTCTGTGGATTTCACTCCTCCAGGAAGGATCATATAGTGGAAACCAACCGCACAGAATCTGTTCTTTGGCGCCTGGCTTATCTCACTGAGCATCACGTCCTCCAGGTTCTTCTGTGTTGTAGCAGGTGCCAGAGTGTCCTTCCTTTTTAAGGAGAATAATATTCTATTATGTGGACAAACGTTTTGTTTGTCCATCATCCATCGATGGACCCTCAGGCTGCTCCCCCCTCGGCTGTTGTGAGTGATGGGCTGTGAGCACAGGTGGGCTGTGACCTTCCATGAACTGGACTTTCTCCAAGGGGTACGGTGTTCCCGTGCCGTGTGGGCTGTTTGATTGATCAGGCACATCGTACCCAATTGCGTAAACTGGGTCTGCGAACTTTTCAAGGGCCTAAGAAAAGGTTTGAGACCAGAAAACATTTTTTTCCTGGTTTAAAGGACGAAAAGAACACCTGCAGGTTTGAAAGATAAAGGTGTTCAAGTTGTGACTGAAATTTAGCTCTTACATAGTTGTGACATAATGATTATATTTGATAGGTTTGATATGATGTGGGAACAGGGTTTACAAAGTTCCTACAATGGCTGTGGGGTTGCCATTTATCTTGGAAACTGCTTATACGACTCAACTGTCTGGTGTCATCTTTCCTGAATCGTGTGATTTGAGGCATCCGAGACCTCTGACCTGCTATGAAGGAAAACAAGTGAGTTCCCGTGCCGTCCCTGCAGCCTGTGTCCGGTGGCCGTCACAGGTCAGCAGCCAGGCAGAGCACCGTGGTCAGCACAAGGGCGCTTGTCCAGAGCTTGCCCAGCATGGGGGCTGGTCCACCGCGCACCAGACCCGCAGGCGGGCGGCGGGACGGGATGCTGGCAGCTGAAAGGGTCGGCTCCAGTGCACCGAGGGCGGGGTGTTGGTGGGGAAAGTGAGGCAGCTGACTAGACGTGGGGTGTGGTTATGGGCTGAACTGTGTCCCCCCAAATCCATATGTTGCAGTCCTGACCCCAGGACCTCAGGACGTGACTATCGGAGACGGGGCCTTTAAAGAGGTGACTGAGGTAGAACGAGGTCTTTAGGGTGGACCCTGATCCCACAGGGCTGGTGTCCTCATAGGCGGAGATCAGGACACAGACAGGCACACAGGGGCGGCCACGTGGGGCCATGGGAAGGAGACAGCCAAAGAGACAGGCTTCAGAGGGAACCAGCCTTGCCCACACCTGGTCTGCCAGGCTCCAGGATACAAGGCGGTCCTCGTTGTTATGCAGCCTGGCAGACGGATACGGGCGTCTCGTGTGATGGGTCAGGGGGAACATTTGGCTTCTCAGGCTGGTCCTGAGTTGGAGGAGGGGCAAAGCCAGGGAAGCTGGGGTCACTGACCTGGGGCTGGCATCTGGGGTCACTGAGAGGTTTGGCCAGCTCCCCAGGGTGGCTGCTCCAGGCTGTGGGTCTGTCTGTAGGTTCAGTCTCCCAGGACCAGAGAGTGTGTCTTGGGTTCCACCGTGGAAACACTTGTCCTCCTCCCAAGGGCTGATTCTGAGTGGAGGGACAGGAGCCTGGGCGGGGGCGGGGCCGGGGCCTGGGAAGTGCGGGCGGCGGCGCCCGGTGAGGCCCCAGGACCCAGAATGGCCCGCTCACATCTGCCGACCTGCAATGGGGTTGGGCTGCAGGGAGACCTGCAGACACACTTGGACCTCTGCCGGCACGTAGGACGCACGTGTGGGAAAGGTGCGTCCCAGCTTTGCAGGTGCTTTTTTTTTGAGGGGAAAAGTTTAAAACACTGTTGTCGAACACACGTTGAAATAGACTTTGAGGTGCTTTTTCAAAGGTAAAATTTAAAAGAGAAATGGTATTGTTGTCACTAAGACCCGCATCCTCTGCTCTCTTTTCTCTGCATCTTTATCACTTTTCGGCATCCGCAGATCCAAATAGGGCTCTGAGTTCATGCTACTGTGTCTCTTCAGAAAGAGCAAAACTTCTGAATGAAATGCTTTAGCACCGCTTTTGTGGCTCATGAGCTATGTTTACTGTAGATAAATTTAAATCTAAAATTACAGAAAACCAAAACTCAGAGAAGTGATGTGACTTGTGTGACTTGCCATTTTCATTAACAAAAGTATAAACGAAGCCACTCTGAGCTGTTCTGTGCTGCTCAATTCTGTCCTTACTGAAGGCACAGGGAAATTTCTGGATATTTTCATGGGTCTGTGCTGACAGACAGGAATGGTTCTGGAGCAAATACCAGCCCTGGTTGTTTGGATCAGGTGCTCTGCGTGAGGTGCAATGCGCAGGAGACAAACCAGACCCCTGCCCGCCCACTCCCAGGTACCCAACACCACTGCCCCACCAGGCCCCTGCTCACGACGACTTTCCTGGTCTGAGAAGCTGTCCCAATCGGGCGGGCTGAGGGGGGGCACCACCCCCAGGCCACCCCCCCCTCCCTGTCTGTGCTCCACTCAGCTCTGTTCTCCGGAAGGCTCTGAAGGGCTGGGCGCGCTCCAGAACAGTTGCAGGAGTTTAAAAAGCAGATTTCCATGGTGCTTTGCGAGGCAGATGACCCCATGCTTCACGGAATCATCTGAAAACCAACAGTTCAAAGGGGGCCACCCCCTCATTTCACAGGGAGGGGAACTATAGGGCCCAGAAAGGCCCGGTGGTCTCCCCAGATGCCCCGCAACATATAGAGTGACCTGGGACAGTCTGAGGGTGAGGGCCGTGGGCCCTGAGGACACTCGTCCTGTCACATCGCAGGGTCCAGAGCTGGAGACCAGAGGGGACCGCTGCCAAGGTGGGTCCAAAAGAGAAGCGAGGAGAGATTCTGGCCGCGCTAACCTCAGAGATGCTCTTGTCTAAACCAATAAAGGGCTCGATCGTTCCCCAGAGAAAGGCTGTTGAAAATACGTTTTCCACTCAGTGATAAAGAGAAATTTGCTACCAAGCCCTAAAGTGACACAGAGGACCCTCAGGTGCATATTAGGAAGTGGGAAAAGCCACCTGAAAGGTGACACACTGCACAGCTGCAACCCTGGGACGGTCTGGAAAAGGCACAGCCATGGGGATGTGAAGGGATCGGGGTCGGGGTGGGCGGTGCCAGGGCTGGGGGATGAACAGGCAGAGCACAGAGGAGATTCTGGGCAGTGAAACGACCCCATATGATTCTCAAGCGTAGGTACACTTCATACATGTGTTCAAGCCCATCGCATGTACAACACCAAGACCGAACCCTCATGAAACGGTGGGCTTTGGTTTATAATAATGTATCAAAATCGCTTGATGGATTGCAGCAAATGCATGACACCAAGATACTGATAATGGAAACGGAGGCGGGGCAGGGGCAAGGGCAAGTACGGGAACTCTCTGCACTTCCTGCCCAATCTTGTAAACAAAACCCCTCTAAGAAAAAAAAAAACCTCTAAGAAAACAATGACTATTCATGTTTAAAAATCCATCTGGATGGAGAAAGCCTGGGAAGGGGAGGGGCAGGAGCCCTGTGGGCGGGGACTCCAGCGCTCTGGGGCCAACAGGCCGCGCCATGGCCAACGCTGGGCGTCTGCTGCTGCTCTGGTTGCTGCCCACGACCCTGGTGACGACGCGGGGGAAGCACCTGCCACGGTACCACCAGGTGAGCTACACGTCCCTGTCCCCTGTCGCTGCACGGTGCAGGGCTGCCCGCACCCAGGCCCGCGGGGGGCCCTGGCTCCCAGCCCGCTTTTCTGCCCCGGCTCCCTCTTCTGTCCCCTCTCCTGCGCCCAGCCTGTGAGCACGCGCGCCTCCCAAGGCTCTCAGGCCCCCGGGACAGCTGACCCCTGACTCACACCCAGGTCCGGCGCCAAGTCCCCAGTCCAGTGGCCACTGCGACCTGGGACAGGAGCTGCTCCAGGGACCCGGCGCAGCGTGGAATGGCAGGGGGGCGGGCCCAGGGGAGCCGGGGGGAGGGGCAGCGGGTGCCGGGGCGACAGTGATCAGCTCGTGTGCATCGTGGTGTGCCAGCGGAGACAACGCGACCTGGCTGTCCTGGGGACTGTGTGTCACCGCCCTGATCCCCTCGTCCTGCCTGGTCCGCGGTGGCCCCTGCACAGGAGCAGCAGGGAGGACTCCGTGCCGCGCGGCCCCCTCCCCGGGGCCCTCCTGTCTGCTTGGTCTCTGGGCGGCTCCTCCTCTGTCCTCAGGTCTCACCCACTGGACCGCCCCGACCCTGAGCCCAGACGGCTTTATTCTCAGCCCTTGAGAGCTGAAGTGACTTACCCAGAACAGTAAACGCGGAACAGCGGCTCTTTGGGACCCTCAGTAGTTTTGAGCTTGTGAAGGAGATTTCTGAGAGCCGAGTGGGGGGCCCCTCACAGGTGGGGGGCGGGCGGCAGGCCTGGGCTTCAGTCCAACTCCTTGTTGGCTCTGTGATCTCTGGCAGGTCACCTACCCTCTCTGAGCCGCAGCATCTCACCTGTAAAACGTGAGAGCGTGGGGAGGGGCTGGAAGCTTCATTCGTGGCACCCCTCCCTGCCCGCTGCTCGGCCGCACAGCCGCCTCTTCCGTCCTCTGTGCCTCAGTTTACCCTCTGCCTCCCTCCCCTGGCTCTCCGTCTTCTGGACCCCCGCGGTCTGTGGATGTTCCAGAACAGTGTCAGGCGGGCGAGCCAAGTTTGCAGGGTGGGGGAGCACACGGGGCTGCGGCGGGCACAGGTGGGTGAGCCTTCACTCGGCAGCGCATCGGGGAGGCCTGCGAGGGGTACTCAGTGCTGGAGCGGCGGCTGCGTCACCAACAGCCCGAGTCCCCAGAACTTCTTCCAGCAGCGCCCGTCCTGGCAGAAGGTGTGCCCTGCCCGGGCCCGCGAGGGGCGAGGGGCCGGGGAGGGCGGACCCTGGGAAGGAGGGCCGGGGGCCCGGCAGAAGGGACCGGGTCTCCTTTTCCCGCAGCCAAACGGGCACACCTGCCTGGACCACACGGAGTGCCGGAGCGGCTGCTGCATCACCAGCAGCTACGGGCTGCAGACATACGGCACGGCCAAGACCATCTTCCTGCAGTGCGTGCCGTGGCGCGAAGTGAGGCCAAGGGCCGCGGGGCCGGAGAGGGGCACCTGCTGGCTCTGACCTCTGACCACTGCCCCCAGCCCAAGGGGGACTACTGCACGGACCACAGCGAGTGCCGCATCCAGCCGAACGAGGTCGGCCCCCAGAGCGGCGTCCTGGTCCAGTGCCTGCCCTGGGTGAGTCCCGGAACCGGGTCCAGCCCGCCTGTGGGGCTAACTCCAGCGACTGGCCTGAGGGCGGGCGGGCGGGCAGTGACCTGGAAGTGGTGTGTCCCCTCCCAGGAGAGGCCGCCAACTGCCTCTGCAGATCGGCCTCCGTCCCCGTTTCCTGAAGCAGAGCCCGGATGAGGCATCAGAAAAGGACACGGGTCACGGTGGGTGGGTTCTCAGGTCCATCAGGGTCGCAGCAGGACACGGCGCTGGACGCCCGGGGAAGGGCCAGCACAGCGGCGGGGGGCGGACCCACGGGACGGGGCAGCACCGGGACTCACTCCTGTGGGGCTGGACGAAGGGAAGGACTGTCTTGGGGGCCTTCTCCCCGCCCATCGCCTTCCCCAGAGGAAGGAGCTCAGTGAGGCGGCCCCCCAGGATGCAGGACCTGAAGACACCACGGAGGATATGGGCGGGGGGGGTGGAGCAGAGGGAGGTGGAGCACGGTGACCGGAGGGTCACGGCGAGTGGCTGGGAGACGACACTCTGGTGCCCGAGCTCGGACGCCGGGACCCATGACTTCAGTCTGACGGTAAAGGTGTGTCTGAGCCCCGAGGTTGAGAGCCAGAGCTTTCTGAGCACGCCCACCTGGCCCATCAGCACCCAGAGCAGCAGTGGGT